CACCACTGACTCTTTAATTACAGTGGTGGAGCTGCCAGTGAGTTCCTAGAAAGTGGAATAGAAATTGTTTGCAAATTCAGTCATCTGAAAACTTGTGATTGAAAAACACTCCTGCAGATAGCAAAGGTGGACATTTTCGTGTTTGTTTTGAAGCTCCCTAGAAATATAAGCTCTATGGCCCATGGGTACATTTCCGAATTTACCTATATGAGATTCATGTAAATAGAAATTGTGCCTTTTACAGGAAAAGAAACCTAGAGAATATAGATGGTTTCTGTTTTAGATATAAAATACTTCTGGAAGTGTGTCCAAGACCTTCGCCATTGTCTCATAGGGAGTTAGAGGCAGAAAGTGAGGCGTGGGGGGATGTAGAGAGAGGGAGATTATGTGTGGTAGCACGGAAACCAGGGATTTCATTGCTAGAATTTCAGGAGCAACTATTACTCCAAGTCTTTACTGCATGCAGTTTTTAAACTTAAGGGACGCTCCCGCAGTGTAACAAGAAGCCTGGGTATAATGACACTCTATCCAGATTGTGTTTCCTCCATTTCCACGTTTGTTTTCTTTGTATTTAAAACTGTAATCGATGTTTTAATGATGTGTTGGTCTCTGCAGAGCTTCTGTGATGGCTCTTCTTTTAAATTAAAAAAGAAGATACATCTAATGCATTATAAGCCCCAAATCTTCCTCTGCGTGCCCAGATGAGATCTTGTCAGTACATTGAAACTTCATTAAAAAATATCTGTCTGTTAGTACCATGAACAATCCAAAAGGCATTCTCTTAGAAACTTGAAGGAATGGACCTCAGCTGGGGAAAGCCAGTATCAGGAACTAATTCTCGGATCCACATGTTGCCTGGACAGAGGGAAGAACAAGAAGATCGAGGCACATAGGAAGTGGGCAATATTATGTGAGGCACACAGGAAGTGGACAGTATTATGGCAGGGCATTCAAGAAGGAAGCCCCTTGATGATTGGCCTGTGTGGCAATTGCAGTCAAGTCAACACGAGAGAGAGAGAGAGAGAGAGAGAGAGAGAGAGAGAGAGAGAGAGAGAGAGAGCGCGCGCGCGCTTGGTGGTAAAATGTAACAGAGGAAGGAAGCAGAGACTATATTTTTAAACGTTGTCATGGGATTTGTAAAATGTGTCAGCTTCTTGAATTTCTTTCACTGGTGGAAATTAAGTGCTCCTAGAAGGAGTGCGACCTCCCCTCTTTAGGGATCCCGTCTTTGGAGCCTCCATGACTTGGGACTCCACACATGATCTCAGTGACAAAGGCTTGCCCCTTTCTCAGGAGTCAGGCCAAATGCTTCCACTCCAAGTTTGGCCTCATATGCAGGGAAATTGTTTATAAAAGCTACTTATCTCCTGCTATGGGGTGAGTAGAAACAAGTTCTTAAATCATTATCACTACTTTCCAAGTTGCCACTCACTCATGCAAGCTTTTAAGAATGTTTTCTGGGCTGGTGGATTTTAGTAATGCTCTCCAAGGCTATTTTGCCACCAGAGAATCTCAAGTGCAATTATTTTGCTAATACTTAAATCAATGCTTGTGGTTCTGTCTTCAAGATATTCAGATAGAAGTGGAAATTATACAAAGGCTGGAAGGGGAAGGGACAACGGCGGGAGTAATGGATGGAGAAAGAACAGCGCTGTCCTTCTGACCAATGCACTTGAAAGGAGACACTTAGAGCAAAGTCCCCCTAAACAGAAAACGTAACTTCATTGCTCTGTTTACATGTGCTATTGTTTCAGCCCTGGGTGCTTTGTTTACTTTGAAAGGAAATATTTTACCCCCTCTGAGATAATTAATTTTTGTCAGTTTCACTGTTTATAAGGGAAACTGAGAAACTGTTAATTGAAATACAGAGTGAGTCACTGTTTTCCGTAATTTTTGGCAGCATGCTAATTTGTGTCAATCCCAGCCTAATTATTAGATTTTTTGGAAGCAGAAAGCATATTTGATTTTTCTCTTACTGATTTTTTTTCCCCCTTCCTTTTTTTGGAATATAATATGCTATCTAACAAAGGTTATATAACTGATGTCAATGTGGGGTGGAAATTCAAGCCCATTTGAAATTCCGGGAGGTTCCTGGTTCCTTCTTGGCACCTGACGGCAGCTCAATATTTAGAAAGTTCACAGAATGAGGTCTTCCTGTCTCCCAGGCCCACCCTGCCCCCACCCCGAAAACGTGGTTCTTCTAAAGACCTTCCGGCTCGTGTGAAGCCACCGCCTGTGGCCCATCACTAATGACATCACCCAAGTCCATTTCCCAGAAGCCGTCAGGGGGAGTTCATTTGGAAATCCAATTGAATGTCACAGACAAAGGGCAGACTCCTTGAAGAGGTGACCAGCCATGCATTCCCAAGTTGTTTATTGTAAAAGCATTAATCACCACAGACTCATTTGCTCCTAAAGCAAACACGCCACATTATTCCACCGGAATCCTGTTCCAGATGATCATTAATGTCCAGAACAGGGAGCTGCTGATTGTGGGCGAGGTTAATAAAATCTGTCAGATCAGTGGTCAGCATAATGGGCCTGTTAATGGCTCTTAATAGCCGAGGCTTCCTTCTGGCTGCAGAGAGCACACGCAGGCAGAGAGGCAGATGGCTGTGCCGCGTACACAGGGCTGTCTCTCGCCTCTTGAGGGTGGCCCCTGGATAAAGGGAACATGGAAATCAGTCACTGAAGTGCCCTCGACCCCCATGGGAGGAAGCCCCCCACGACTGCCCACGAGGACAGTCCCACAGTCCAGCAGCGTGCACATGGCCGCCTCTTGCAAACCACAGGTCAGCGGACACCCAGCCACCTGAACAGACACTATCCCAGACCCTTGGCCTTGACCCCCTGGGCCCACCAGTGAGATGCAGAATGGCAGTCACACTGATAATAGTGACAACCACAGTGAATGTCACTGGAGGCTCTCAGGGGCCCATGACTAAGTACTTGGCAGGCCTGTGCCCCGTCCTCATAGCACCGCCCTGAAGCTGAAGGTCCGAGGAAGGTCGGAGGTAGCTAGTAACAAGCCCAAGGTTAGGTTTGGAAGCTTGTGTCCCTAAACCACCGGTGCTCCTTTGTTGGAGGAGGACACAGAGGAGCAGCAGCCTAAACTCAGACAAAAGAAGGACACGAACAATGGGCCTGGACATTGTTCCACTTGCACATCCAGTGGTCGACGTGTTTGGGACCAAGCTTGGGTAGAACAGCCATGTTTGTCAGCAATGTTGTCCCACTGGGATTTGTTACTAAAATGTGAGTCCCAGTTGTTCTGTGTCACCTCCAGGAAGTCTTCTCTCCCCAGTGATGGCCACCCCCTTCTCTACCCCCAAGAATTAATCTTTCTCGCCCCACCCCTGCCCCATCAAAACTTGTCATATTCCTTGTCATCAGAGGGTCATAATGATGATCTAACGGTGCCCTAGCTAGCTTGTCTGGGCTGGGAGGAACCTACTCCTTCTTAGGAATGCCTCCTGAGCACCAGACTCATGGCACCTGGTGGTAAAGAGTGCCTGGAGCCGAGGACTGTTGTTCCAAATACGTGGAGTGGGAGCCCAGTGACGTTCCCGAGCTCTAAGCACTGCTGTGATCAGGCCAGCTACCTGGAGGCTCAGGATCAGGAGTGGAATGGAGCTGGAAAGCAGACGCTTTAAGAAGCTGCCAAGACTGTGGAAATTGGGGTGCAGGAATGAAAGAGGAATAATAACTGTGACTCTGAAAAACAGAACATTCTAACATGATTGGAAATTGCCAATAAGTACAGAATGTGGCCAGAGGGGTTTGTGCATGTTTTCAGTAAATGAAAGGGCATTGCAATGTCTCCAGATGACCTTCCCAGATGAGTTTCCAAAGCCAAGAAGGGGTGAGCTTCAGTAGTCTCCACAAACACCACCCCTCCTAAGGTGGATCCCTGGCTTATGTCATTTTTACAAGTCTAGTTTTAAAAGTTTGGAAGATGTGAGAAAACAGATGGTTATAACTAGGGGTGATACAGGGAAGGGGGGCCGTGGAAGGTTACCCAGGGAGGTGTATGCACACCCCATAATACCTAGCACCCTCGGCAAGATTGAGCTCAGTCACACAGTGCTGCGTGCAATGGGGAATACAGAGAGGTAAGATGTGTTTCCTGTCCCCAGAACCTGTGGATCTGCACCCCGAGTGCCAGACTGCAGGGTGCATAATATCATGGCAGCAGAACTGAGTGAGAGAAACTAGCATGGGGAGAATTCGGAGGCATCATCCTGGGAAATTGCGTTAGCCACAAAGAACAGAGAGGATCAGAAAACAGAGAAGATAAGGTCCACACGGAGAGAGGGTCACCCAGTTGTACCATCATACTCTGAGCCGTGCAGTCTGGCACTTGGGGTGCAAATTCACAAGCTCTGGGGACAGGGAACGTGTCTTACCCCTCTGTGTCCCCTATTGCATGTAGCAACACGTGACTGAGTTTAGTCCTACCTGGAGCACTGTTGGAAGTGGGGGAAATAGGCTAAGTACAATGGAGAATGAGGGCCTGGTTCCTGTGGAGGTTAAATGTATGTGTGTGTGTGTGTGTGTGTGTGTGTGTGTGTGTGTGTGTGTGTGAGAGAGAGAGAGAGAGAGAGAGCGAGCATGTGCATGGGACGTTGTATATTTGAAAGAATGTATGAGTGTGTGCGTGCTTGTGTTTTCATGTATAGGTGTGTGCATGTGTGCACACATGTGTGTATTTGCACATGTGTGTTAGAAGAGGATGGCAGTGGCAGTGGGCAATGAGCAGGGCCATTAAGGTTGATGACACATTATAAAGAGCCCTGGTAGCCAGACAGAGGAGTTTAGATCAATCTGGTAGTGAATAGGGAGACACTGTAGGTCCTTGGGCCACCAAGGAGTGTGATCTAAACCAGTTGTGGAAAGTCCAGCCTTCAGTGTGCGAGTGGGCAGACTGGAGAAGGAGGAGAGGATCATGGGTACCGTGGGCAGCAGGACACCCTCATGATCTGCCGTCTTTTCTCCTCCAGCACACGTTCATATTGCCCTTCTCGCTGCTTGAAGTCGTCCTCAGGCCACATCACTATCCATCCAAGAAGACAGGAATCACGTTGTTGGCTGCTGGCACTGTTGCTTACACTGCCAGGTAAGAACTGCACAGAGAAAGTCACCTGACGCTTGCTCAGGACCTTCTGGAATATTCCACAAAAGTGTACCATTCTGTCAGAGTCTTTATGTTGGTTTAAAGGGGGTTTGACCATGTTTAAGCTTCCAGGTAAGAAGAATACTTGTCGCTTGATTTCAACACCTGTGGCATGCTCATGTGCCTAGGAATGGATGTGCAGGTGTGAGCGCAAACATGGCGAGTCACAACTTCCTCTCACTCCCTCATGAAAAATTAATCTTTCCAAAGCCACAGATGTTGATTTCCCAAGAAAATGTTTTGTCTTTGGTTCCATTTGGAATTAAAATATTTGAGTGGCTGAATGATCTGAGGCCTCTAAATACTTTCCATCTGAAAAGGCATTTGACAGGTGGAGTGTGTTTTGGCCCTTCCAGGGGCCTGGTTATGATGGGTTTATTTGCATCCACATCTGCCACTGGAGCACCTGGAGGGCCTGGGACGATTGCCAGGGTCCTGCAGAATGGCCTCACGGGAGGCTGGGGAGAATCAAGTAGCTGGCCTAGATTTCATCATTCAGCCACCTGGTGACATGACACTCAGAAATGCTGCCCCAGTCTGTAATCAGGGAATGTGCCTGACCTCCACCTAGTGACAGGCAAGCTCCCTTGCTGCTCTTCCCGTCCAGCTGCAAGCTCCCACCGGAGGGACCACACCAAGTACGAGACCTGCAGACTGGAGGATGATCCTGTTCCTCTCTAGGCTCGCATAAGCTCTTCCCATATGTCCATCTGGAGAACCTCTCAGTCTCTGTACAGGGCGTGAGTTCATCCAGTGCCGTTATGTCAGGGATGGAAGCTTTGAGAGAAGAAGCAGGAGAAAGAGCGGGGGGAGCCTATGCCCAACCATGTGGGTTCCAACAGCACCTACCTAGTGGATTTCCGCAGACTTTGCTTTAGAGCAAATAAGCTTGGCACTCATAACTCAGGTGCTGGTTTCTCCCTAACGTTCCTGTCCCCTTTCCATGGCTCTTTTCCAGGGATGCCCGAAGTCTTTCTTGCTCTTTCATCTTAACAAAAACACTTGCTAAGGAAATCTCCCTCCAGACCCCAGTGTTTTGACTGCTCTTCAGCCTTGGGAGCCTTTGCATTTTAACAAAGGACATTTTTAGAGAGCAGGGCTTAAGCTGAGGACCAGCACCGTGTTCATGGATTCTGCGGAGAAAAACTTGTGTGATCCATAGCAATGTCTCACCGCAGCATAAGACTGGACTGTGGTAGGGTATATGCCTTATTGTTGTCATATGTGACTTGACACCGTGGAATAAATTCTTCAATATAGAAGGGGACCTGGATTGAGGTTAGAGTATATGCGCATAAAGATATATCTCTCTGTTTTATGTGTTGAAGAGAATGAGAGTGGAGAGCATCCGTTTGTACATTCTATCTTTTGTAGACTTCAATTTTTTTTTTTACCAAATGCAATTTTTGGAGTTTTGAGTTAGTACCTTTAGCACACTACCTTTTTCTACCTAAGGATTTGAAAGCTGATCATCGACTCACAGATCCAACCTTGCTTTTCTTTTCCTCTTGGAGGCCTGAAGAGCACTTATTGTCGTGGCCATAATGATGAAAGGCAGTGCCCAGGGAGTCTTGGCTTGTCAGTACCTGGGCACAAGTTCCTACGATGCAGAGGATCAGGGGTTTGGGGAAGAAGATGCAAGGGGGGAATGGGGTGTGAGCACCTGCAGTGTCCACTCAGCTATTTGTCCATGTTGTGCTGATGCCGAGCATGTGACCAGATACAGGTGGTCTGCTGTGTTTAGGGACTGTCTCGGGAAGAGGAGTGTGAACAGACAGTCGGAAGGCAGAGTGGTGAGACCAGCCCTGGGTGCCAGGAATGCTCAGGAATGGTTTTCTAAAGGGAACGGTTTTTCTAACTGAGACCCAAGAGGGAGTAGGAATAAGTCATAAGAGACATGGAAAGACCTTCAGACAGAGGGAAGAGCAGCTCCGTAGGGCCAGGGAATCAGGGGTGCAGCTGAATTGGGGGACAGGGCAAAGCTAGGTCATGAATCACAACAATGGATTTGGACTTTTAAACTACTAAGCAGAGAAAGTTAAATGTTGTGGTTTACATAAGAAAAAAAATAGATGATTCTGGCTGAAGTGTGGAAATTAGACTGAAGAGGAATAAAGTGGATGCGATGTTGGCGTTTGTGGAACTGCAGGGGAGCTGATGGTAGTAACAGATGACAATATTGACCAACCACAAATAAAAGCTGAGTGTGTGAATGGCAGCGGGTGACTTAGAGGTCTCCTGGCGTTATGGTTTGGATATGAGGTGTCCCCCGAAAGCTCCTGTGTTAATGCAGAAATGTTCAGAGGTAAGATGATCCGATAGAGAGTGGTACCCTCCAGAGTCCATCTCAGTTTTAGTGGACTGACTGGGTGATAACTGTGGGTAGCTGGGGCATGGCTGAAGGGAGTGGGTCCCTGGGGGCACACCCTGGAAGGGTACATCTTCTCTGTGGTCCCCTTCTCTCCCCTCTGCTTCTTGGCTACCATAAAGGAAGCAGCCTTCCTCCATCTCTCCTGCCACCATGAAGTTCTATGTCACTCTGGGCCCAGAGCAATGGATTCAGCCAAGTATGGGCTCCACCTCTGGAATCATGAACCAAAATAACTTTCCTTCCTCTAAGTTATTCTTGTCTGGCATTTTGATCACAGAAATATAAATCTGACTCAATGCACCTGACATTGAAAAATTGGAGCTCCAACAGGTTAGACAACATGTCCGAGGTCATACGGCAGAGGTGGGGGGACGCGCAAACTGGGACCTGGGTCAACGTAAACCGAGGTCTCCTATCTCCAGACTCAGTTCTCTACCCACTGCCTTCCCAGGGCCAGGCACTTGTTCAGCTCCCAGCCTGTGCAAAACCACCCAGCTGAGTGCTGGTGGCTGGGCAGCCAGAACAGACTCTGCAGCCTAAAAACCGTTCTTGATGCTTTCGTTCCCAGTTCTGTGCTTGGAGGGACACTAAAGTAATGGTAACGGGGCCAGCGATTGGAGGGATGGAGCCCTGGGCCAGCAGGGTGGGCCCCGATGCTGGGAAACTGGATGATTTGGTCCCTGCTATTGATGAGAAGTACTAAATCAGCACTTGGTACATCCTGTTCCATTTTTGCTAGAATAAATCAAATCAGCTTATTTGAGGTCATTTTATGCTGGTCCATTGGGGAAAATTTCCCCACCTCTGTCCATTCTCTGGTTAGGGGACCTGCGACTTTTTTGCCTGCCGTCTCCACCCTTTCACGTCATGCACGGGCCCCGGGCCCTCGTGGCCACAGACAACCATCAGCAAGTCCCCCACACCGTGGATACCCGTGGAGACGCTGCTGGGCGGTGGCAACGGGCCAGCTGTCAGGTGTGCCGATTTGGGTGGTCCAATGGGGAAATGGCAGAGCAGGAATGAGGTAAAAACATGGGCTGTGGGCACAGGGAGCGTGAGAAGCAACCATGAGTCAGAGAAAAACTGCAGTCACTCTGAGCTGGAGAAGCATTTCACTGCTAAAACCATGTTACAATGACCTAAAAATAGCCCCGGAGACCGTGGGGACGGCCATCCAGATACTGCTTGCTTTTTGTTATTTTTCAGATTGCAAAATCGGAGGGCTGGCCCCGAAGTGGGAAAATAAAGCTTTGCAGAGTAGTAATGACTGCAAATCTTTCACTTCCTCTGGAAAGCATTAGTCACCTGTGAGGATGGGAGCTGTTCTCTCCTTCCTGCTCTCTCGCCCCAAAACGCCTCACCTAGCGCCCTGTGAGGCAGTGGTAAGGAGCAGGAAAAACAGAAACATTCCTTCTGCTGGTTTTTATTTCTTCTTTGATTGAACAAATATTTCCTCTAACACAGCACGGGTCCTGCTGGGAAAAGCAGCCACACAAGCCAAGCCTCAGCCTGCATGGGGTTTTATACTTAATAAGTGGAAATGAGCTGTGTATCCATGTTGTAAGAACATAAGCTTGGAAAGTAATAAAATGTCATTAAAAAATACCAGGAGCCACAGGAACACGGAAGAGGAGGAAGAGGGGACACCTGGCTGAGAACTGTGGGAAGGACTAGCAGGATCCAAGCTACAACAAGTCAGAGAACGTGAAACCCAG